TGAAGGGTGCGCTGCATCCTGCTAAGGGTGTTCGGCATCTTGTGCTTACTTCCTTGCGTACGGATGACAGCTTCGTATGACTTAATTTATTTTCTGGTGCTTTCACTTCCAGAGACAGTTATAAGCACTGTGTAACTGCTTCAAGGGTGCTTGACCACTTTAACACAACGTGGTGCGATCATCCCCCTTGCGCGGAGTGAGGGTTCTCGACCCCGCACAACATGATCTACTCGACCACCATTATGGTTACCGCAAAAAAAGAAACAGAGTCCGGGGCAGAGAGAGAGAGAGAGAGAGAGAGAGAGAGAGAGAGAGAGAGAGAGAGAGAGAGAGAGAGACCAATGCCTTTTACTCGGCGAACGGGGATTAAGGAGTAGTTCCACACACGTGAGGCCGAAGATAACTAGTAATCCTCATCCACCCGCATGATGAAGGGTCTGGTATCGGTCTGGAAAAGTTTGTGTTTCGTCTGGGTCGGCAAATGTCGACGATTGCACTTGGTCCCAGGTCGGCATCACAGATAGAACCGCCGACACCTCACCCACTACCGGGTTTGGCGGCATGTCGCATTTAAAAGGGCACTTCTTCTGCGCGTGAAGGCGCATCCGGAAGTTGGTACGGCAAAGCTGACGGAGAGAACGTTTCATCTTCATATAGAGTGTGACATGGTGAGCCCGTGTGTATCTAACCGCTGAAAGCTCGACACATAGAACAGGGTAGCCGAGGGACACGTTAGAGTACCTAACGAATCGCGTCAAGGAGAACGCTTTGTCATATTGCGTGTTGTGCGGAGGGACTGGTGTACCCGCTCGGTGCCTTGCATGCAGTCGTTTGGGGAGCCCCAGCATTTGATCTATGAGTCATGTCTGTGGATTCTTCAATTCATTTCGCACGAGAAACAGGTGATTCCGTGATGAAGGGATCCAGATATTTCGCTGCTTTTACCCAATCGACTGCGAGATATTGGGCCACGTGCTAAACCATTGAAACCGGTGTAGGAGAGATATCGAGGGTGAGTAAAACCACATCCACCAGTGGGCTTCCTTTTTGCCGACCATTTGGAGGTGACGTGTAACGACCAGCACAGAGCGAAGCACCAGCGCCGCGCTTCGTTTCTCTTTTATTTTCGGGGATTTGCAGGCCATGAGAGATCAAGCTCACAACGACTGGTTGGATGAAGACCAAAGGGACTGTTAACAGCCTCTCACAGCAGGCGAAACGTTAGTTCCCACCTCAAAACCAACCCTGAGCAAGATACGCATACCACGAAAATTTTGAGATCAAAACGGGGAAAGGTCAAAACTTTGTGGCGCGAATAATCTTTGAAGTGTTTCTTATGTCCAAAGGTTCGTGGTTACAGGGAGTTGAGAACACTCGTTTGTTAGCTTGAGCTTGTTGGCGTGCGCTCTACGTGATGTTATGAGAACATGCCAGAAGTAGGAGTAGCTTCCGTCCAGCTTGATACACCTCCAGTCGACCGAGAACACAAATCGCTCTTTTGCCTTAAATTTGTCGACGGAACATGCCAGTCGTGCCGATATATTCGAACAAAAATTGTATCATCTACAGGGTCCACAATCTGCACGAGAACACACAAGGCCCAGGGGGATTGTTCAGGTAGTGGTAAAACAGAATCGAAGCGAATTGGGCTTTACCTCATGCTGATGCCGCATGCTCAGCACCGAGCGGAACTCCGTCATCACGCCAGTCTCCTCCCACACCTCGCGGACCGCCGCCTCCCCAATCCCCTCCCCGACGTCCGCCAGGCCTCCTGGGAACTTCCACATCGCACCCTTGTGCTTGTCCTTGACAAGCAGGACCTCGTCCTGGCTGTTCATCACGCAACCTGTGGGGAAGCAAGCATTTGTTGCGTGTTGGTTGGCGATTGTTTTTTTGACGCACACAAGCGAGACAAAGCAAAGGGAGAGAATGAGGGCCAACTGTTGTCGTCGATTCTGCCTCCATGCCACTGTTGTAGCGGTCGTTAGCTTGGTATGACACATCCCTCTGCTTTTTTTGAGTATGAACTCATGGCTTGCACCGTCGAGGTTGCGGGAAACCGAACGCGCGAAGCTGGACTCGTCTGCATGCATATCAAGTTGCAAATGCCTTCGTGTGTAACGCAACCAGATTCGGACACCGGCGCAGGACGGGCATACGGAACACAAAATCCAATTTGTCTTAGTAAAGTTCACGGAAGAATGCTCGCACGCTCCATGCGGTGCTCGGTCCATTGTTGGATCGATTCCTCCCAGTGCAAGACAGGACCCCTCAGAGCACAATGGGCATCTTCGATGGGACGATAAGGAAGCATATCGCATTGAACAACAACGTGTCAAGGCACAACGCTGTCACGGAATCCCTTGGCATTCGCGCAGCCAAAAATCTTCACAGCCTCCAACGCCAACGGCGTTTACTGCTGCCGTTGCTGTCACCACCGGTGGCACAGGACAACGGAACAAACGAACCTGCGACGCCGACGTGGTGCGTGCCGTACGGGGGAACCTTGTCCGGCACATCTTCAGGCAACCACAGGTACATCATCAAGTACTTGGGCTGCGTGTGGTGAAGCTGGAAGCCATAGTGAGACGCTATCGAGATGAAGTGGCAAAAGTCCGTCGGTACCTTGAGCCACAACGCTGCCGTGCCCGTAGAAAAGGGCCAATGCATGGCGATATTGAACGGGTGGCGGCAGCAGCAGCAGCGATAGCAACATGGCAAAGGACGAGAGTTATGGAATCTTATCTCAATAATTTCATTTTGATCAGGGTTTGGGACAGAGACGGAAGAGGACACATCGAGCGAAGCGCTGCCCTGTACATGTGTCACGAGAACAAACTCCCGCCGATGCAGAAAACGATCTTTGAAATGTACTCGGGAAACTAAGAACACCACGGCTCACTCTCTCTCTCTCTCTCCTCTCTTTCTGTGTGTGTGTCTCTGTCATTCTTCGCTCTCTATCCCGCTATCTCTCGGTGTGTTCATCTCGGTGCCTCTGTCACTATTTTTCTTTCGCTGTCCCTGTTTGTCGCTGTCTCACCCGCCTTGCCATCCTTGCGCAGCATGTCGACGGTGGCGAAGAGCTTGAGCGCGAAGTCGGCCGTGTCCTCCACTTGAATCTTGGCGATGTCTACCGTTGCGCTGTTGAACCTGATTTCGGCGTCAGCGCGGAAGAGAGCAGGAGGAGAAACAGGTCCAAGGGAGGGACTGTTATGATACCATAACAGCAGTGTAGCAGACCGTCGGTTTGACCAACCCCTGGGAGGGAGGCAGGCCATGACGCCAATTTTTGGTGTGCCGGCAATAACCAAATCGTACGCCAACCTCTAACCTCCGCCCCTCCCATCGATACCCCCAGGCGACGAAACGAGCAAACGACGGGTGTGGAAAGGTTGCACATGTGCGCCTTCCAGACTATACACAACGATCCCACCAGCAGACCACCTTCCGCCTTGTCGAATTGCAAGCTGTCTTTCCTGGGTGGGGTGGGGTGGGGCATGACGTCCAGTTTGACGTCGTCCTCTAGACTAGACGAGTCCACACCGGCAGGTTGCTATGAGCCTTCTTCCTCCAAGGGAAAGATCTTGGTAACATCTTCTGGGCGGATCTTGGCTTTCGTCTATGCTGTGTCAATCGAAATCGTTCATCAGCATCGACCGCGCCAACTGATTGGCCATTGACCCTACTTGTGCTCTGTACAATCCATTATTTAACAAACAAACGTGTGTATGCATAGCAACGCCTCTGGCGTGGTCATGGGCGCAAACATGGACTTGGTTTCAAATCACATGAAATAATGACTTCAGCGGGTTAAAAAGGATGCTACTCGTGACGCTGCTCCCGGCAACCTACATGTAGCCAGATGTGGCTCATGTTCTCATGCATTCGCGATGCAATATATAGTGTGTGCAGTACAGTAGTGGTCCCGGTATAACGCCGGTGCGATCCAGCCGATATCACCGGCATTATTGCGGGCGACGGGCATTATTCAGAGTACGAAACAACTCGAAAATTCAATCTGCGCCAGAAGATTTCTCCGGCATTTATAGTCTACAGATGGAAACCGGCACTATTCGACCGCTACCATGCCGGGACCACTACAAGTACTGTAGTGCGGATTCAGTTCTTCGGCTCAAGTACCTCGTACTTTTGACCTGGAGTTCGCTTCACGGGACTCAACCGACTGCTGCCGCACCGGCATGCGCTAAATACAGGTGACTGCTGTCGAACTTTGTGTCGGGTTACGCGGGTAGTTCTTTTTCTTTGTTCCTTGTGGCGAAGTGCAAGGCGTGAGAGAGCCAGTCATCTCTGGACACACAACGCACAACACACACCCCTGGACCCCTACCGCCTACCGCCCAATCAAAGGAGCCACAGACATGATTTTCGTGTCTACCATGTCTACTGCCGTGCCTTCTTCGTTCCCTGGGAGCCGTAACCTGCCCTTCAACTGCTGTAGACTACTGCGGTACTGGTCCAAACGCATGTGCGTAGTTGCAGTTGCATGTTACTTTCGACCGGGAGTCAAAACGGAACACACCTCCATACACCTCGGGGCCAGCCTAATCCCCAAATGCCTGTACTCACTTGCTCTGCTCGAAAGGAAGAGGTACAGGGAGCCCAACGTTGCTAACGGTCGTGGAGGAGGAAGACCAACGGCACGAGCCTGCAGCGCTGATGCTGCTCAAGTTGACTTGCTGCCTCAAGCACGGAAAACTGACGTCCCCGCTGTCCTCGGCTTGTCTCCGTTGCCGGACAGACGAACTAGCAGCAGCCACACGCCTTAGTTTCAAGCCTGGTCTCACGCCACCCACCACTCTGGAGCTGAGGCCTGTTCGTAGAGAATTCATGGTGTGAGCTTCCTCTTCTGCTGCGGGACAGCAGGCAGCACGCACTCACAGCACTGCGCAGCTGCGACGGGTGGAGACGCAAACATCGGGGTGATCACACGGAGCCCCCGTCGCCCCCGCACTTTGCTGTTTGTTTCTACCTGTGTCCTGCTCTCTCGGCTGCACTTTACCACACGCAGCTTCAGTGGCCCACAGGGCCACGTGCGACATCAACGCTACCGACGATGTCCGTCGATCCTGACACGGTATACATCGTCCATTCTAAGGTACCTGTACGCTCTGTGGTTTGCAACACTCCTGTTGGGGCTGGTCCTTCCTGCTGTCTCATAGAAGTATGATGCAATGAGCTCTTCGCCAACAGAGGTAGAAGCCCGTGCGCCAGCTTCGTTTGCAGCAGGTACCTCTGGCTGGTGCTTGTCACAGCGCTAAACATAGTACTCTCAGCAATGGCGTGTTGTTGAGCTCTAACAGCAATCAGTGTCCGTGTTGACGCCGTCATTCGCTCCCCTGGCGTTTTTTCAAGAGCACACGGACACCACGCTGGTACACCCCTCACATACCGCCTGCTCAGAGCCTGGCGCACATCGCACGCGACATTGCTTGTGTTTCCGTTGGCCTACTCCTGGTAGTTCGGTGGCATTCACCGCAGCTGCTCTTGTTTTTTCGTGGCCTCTTCGATCTCACGGATCCCCCGCCTCGCCAGCCGAAGCACGACTCTCACGCCGACGCCATCCGTCAGTTCGAGGGAGACTTCGAGTGCCTCTCCAACACCTACAAGTGCCCCGTTTCGTTGCGCGGAGATCCAGAGCCTTACCCAAGCGTCGAGGTAAGGAGAGCTGTTGCAATCTGCGAGAGTCAAGGGGCTCGGATGAGAGAAGGCTACATGCCGCAGTCTATGTAGCGAAATGGTGTCGGCCTGAACCGTTCTCCAACGACGGTTGCCAATAGCGATCGTATCTCCATGGAGGCATGTGTAGTCACGTTCCTGCTGTCGCAACCGCGGAGTTTCGGACAGCTTTGACTCAGGGGCTCTGCGCTGGTTGGCACCATTTTGTTTGCACCTTTGTGCCTCTCTCTGGGGGTTGCACCCTGCCGCTTCGTCCCCTCCGCGAGACAGCATGCATTGCAGGCATCCAAGACGGACGACTTGGAGCTGAAGGCCGCCATCAGACTCGCCAAAAATGCGATAGAGGCCAAAAAAATCGCACGGGCCGCCAAGGTGGGAGGAAGGTTGACATGAGAACGGGTACGAAGTACAAGAAGTCGTAGGTGATATCTACGGGCAGGGTTCGTAAAACGTGCACTTGGTGGTAGATACCTTGGTTGGCTGAGTTCTGGTTGGGCGGCACATGTATATCCTGGACACCAAGATGTATAGTACAAAGTGAACCCGTCCGGTCTTGATACAGCAGTGGTGTCAGGTCAAAGGCTATATCCAGACACGCTGCTGCTGCTCTGCAGAATTTCTATCCGGGCGATCATTGGCACCCTCTTGTTCGAGACCGCTGGCGCTGCTGCACACCAAGTCCGGTACAATTGGTCAACGAAACACCTGCCCGCCTAACCTGTTGGGTGCTCCCACTGGGAGCGTGCGAAACCGCCGCCGTAGCTTGTTGACGTAGCTCGTGATAGTTGCCATGCTGTACAGACCTCAAGAGTGCAATTGCGCCATTGGGGCATGTGCGTCTGAAGCTGGATACTGACTGCAGTTTGTCGCGAACGTCATGAATGCTTCCATTCAACGAAACTCCGCAGCCAAAGCCGGATTGGCGAGGGAGTTCCGAGAAGATCGCGGAGGCCCTGGTGCGAGACAAGTTTCGGCGAAACGCCAAGGCGAGGGAGGTTCTCGTCGGGACTGGCCGCGTCAAGCTTGTCTACACCAACACTCACGACGATCGATTTTGGGGAGTGTGTACCGGTGAGGCCGGATCCGGTGTCTCCTGTGTGTGTCGTTGATACTGCTGTGTTGTCGTCGTTGTCATCCGTTGTGGCTGTAGTGTTGGTTCCGTCGAGACTAAATAGGCTCTGCTGTCTCTCTTGTCTCTTTGCGCGCCGTTGAGCGTTGAGCCTGGTGCAGAACGCCGAGAGCGGAGAAAAAACAAAGAGAACGGTCCATGTGCTCCCGCTTTAGCCGTTGAATGCAAGTGTATCGCTGGCAGCTTCTTTGCAGACTACGGACGGACCCCCCCCCCCCCCCCCCCCC